GGCTGGCTGGCCAGATGCAAGTTACTTTCCGGTGGTCCCGGAGTACCTGCCTATTTTGGTTATGTGAAATTTTCACAACGCATGCAACCTTGGCGACAATGACCATGTAGGCTTCAGGGCTGACACCTGTACCTCTCAACACCCACAACCCTCACTAGATGGATTCGCCGGCAAATTTGGTCAAAATTCAAACCTCAGGGGACAACTTGGAGGTCACTGTGATAGTTGGGTTTTCCAGCAGCCCAGAAACTGTCAACATTCACTATGAAGTGGCAGATCCTGTGCAAGCAAATTTGGTGCGTCTAAAAACCACATCATCAGTGTTCACTGATCATTAACCTTAGAGATTTTAGACTGTCAAGTTTAGTGGATCGAAACAGCATTCCGATGCACCTTCTCTGTCCTTGAAGTGCAAGTCAGCCAGTGTTCCAACCACCAACTCTCCGATGCAAAAAAAGACAAGATTGGACGTGTCCTTGGAGCTTGGGAATGACTCCATGGTGCTCGAATCAGAGAAGACTCTCGTAGTCAAGGATGTATGTGGTTATTGCTCCGAGATGGAGAAGGAAAGGCAAGCAGGTCAACGAAAGCACCGCTATTGCCCGCGTCATGGTGATTCTCTTATTTTGTTTAGTTTTTGGGGCATCAAGCTGATAACAGGTCTTTAGATTTTCCAGAGCCCCGCTCACCACGCACTCCAGCCAAGCGTAAGGGCCTGAGGCACTACGCTCATGCCTTCACATACCGCAATGATGAACCTGAACCTATCAACACCGAGGCAGCCGCCTCTGACAACCAGGGCATGGAGATGGGACCCAACTCTGAAGCGGAAAGTAGTGTTAGCGGCTAGGATATCTCGCGTAGTCGACATTATCGGTATTGGATTTGAAAATTCAGGAGAATTAACATCTGCGTGCACCTACGGCCCCATACAAGAAAGGTCAGCTTGTGATTTGATGTTGCTACCCTCAATTTTTCTAACTGCATTTAGCAGCTCAGGTTCGTGTGCTCAAGATAAGGAAAAAGGTATATAAACCTCTTCCATTTCCTCCCTTCGTCATCCCACAATTACTCTCATTTCTCTTTTCACCTCTTTTCACCCTCTTTCGATCTCTCTCTTATCCATTCTTGTTTCCACTCATGGCTCCCAAAGGATCCAAGGTTATCCTCCGAAAGGTGCTACCGACTAACGAAGGCAAGTTCTAATGCATACCTTTGATCAGCCTTGGCTCACTCTCTTCTAGACGTAGACGTAGACATGGATAGTCAGCTGGAAGAGACTGTACAGGCCTCACGAAAGTCGCGCAAAACCAAGGCAAAGGCTATGGATAATGCAGGTATGTGTCAAGCAAGTGCATATAACTTCAGCCACTGATACTCCTGTCTTAGTTTGGCTTGATCCAGCTGCAGGTTGTCCAAAAGGTCCTGGTGTGACAAAGGCAGCGACTGAGGCCAGGAAATGTGCTCTCTCCAACTCTGATGCCGTGAATGTGAAGAAGTCGAAGAAGGCAAAAGCAGGTTAGTCACATTTTCAATCATCAATCACTTTGTGCTGATTCATTCGCTTCATGAGATGTCGAAGCAATCGACGAACCTTGCTTTGACGATAACGACGAATCTGACATTGAGATGGAACTCGAGGTTGTTGGTATGTTCTTTCCTTGACTTATCGCCAATTGATTCATACTCAATCGCGGATAGCGTCTGCTGTAAAGCCTAAGCCGGCCAAAGCTAAGGGAGCCCAAGCTGCTATCACTACCACCAAATTGCGTACTGCCCGAGTTGAAACCACATCTAAGCTACCCAAGCCCTCTGTGATCAAGCCCACAGCTGTTACCAAGGGGCCAGGCAAGAGGACAGGCAAGTACTCTATTTTCTATCGCCACTGCGAGGTTCAAAATACCGTAGTAGCTGTTCCTGCTCCAGCAAATTTGGACGATGCATCATCAGACTCCGAGGAACACGGCTCTGATGACGATCACGAGAACGACAAAACCAAGGACATCCAACAGTCAGATGAAGGAGGATCTGAGTCAGACGGTTCGGTGGTCATGACAAGGGCTGAGTTTCTCGCAGAGGTATGTGTCTTGTTTGCATCATGAGGTGACGCATCTGATCTACTTATTTTCTTCAGCAAGCACATGTTGTGGAAGTCGATGAAGACTCTGATAAGGAACAGGAAGCCATTGCAGTTGCAGCAACTAAGGTTGGTGTCTTGAATGGTTAATTGTATGTGATACTATTGTGTCTTACGGTGTGTTTGTATAGCCGAAGACACCTGGAGCAAAGCCTAAGGTATGACTGTCATTTTAGTATACTTCGCTCGTCTCATCATTATGAATAGAAGGCATCCAAGCGTCAGGAGCAACATGATTCAGAGGTCAGATCAATATCTTCAAAGTCATTGATGGATCAACTAATCCACATCTACACAGCAACCTCAAATCCTGGCTCCACAGCTCACTCAGCCCACTCAGTCTCGTGTCTGGAGTGAAGCCGCTACTCCTGTCAAAGCTCCTGGCGGCGAGTATACCATGACTGTTCAGCCTCCTGTCCTCCGAGCTGTTATCAAGAATACCTTCTCGGTGATCCTGGAGTACGCTATCTTCACTAACATGTACCCGAACTACCGGAGTACTGCAGTTTTCACCAGAAATATCTTCATGAAGGCAGCAAGTGTCACCGGGAAGCAAATTGGTGGCGACGACTCTAAAAAGGCACATGCCAAGGAAATTTTCGAACGTGCTCAAACAGATCTTGCATTCATCAAGTGCTTTTCTGATTTGGTTTGTCGTCCTTTGTTTTAGCTTGTGATTTGGCTGATGTTTCTTTGCAAGCCCATGACTCGCTTCTCCCAGTTTCGGAGTGCTAGCAAGACCGTTGCTCATGCTACAACCCCTGCACTCCTTGGCTTGACTACTCTGTCCGAGAGTGAACTCCGCAAGCGTGCCAACGACGAGCTTAAAGGTGAACGCTTCATCTACGCACGCAAAAAGGTACATGAAATTTGATCATCTTTCTACTGGTATTCACCACTATTGTAGGGTGGAGCTGTCCTTAAGAGTGCACCGTACTTGCATCCATGCGTCATAGTTCATGTACGGGACTGGGCATTCAAGTCACAGGCCAATTCTGCTGCGGTTGCACCGAAATATATCCCGAAGTTTTGCACATCACTTCCTGATGATGAAGATGCCCCGGAGAAGGAGCTTCCCATCGATCTCATTGCAGCTTCCGCTACTGCAGTAGGTTCATTTTGTTCAGACATGTCATATTCTCACTGGCCTGTTCGACAGGTTCAAAGCGTTCTTCTCGACATTGCAAACACGGGGTCCACTGTTTTGAAGACTCGATTTGATGGAGATGCTTTGGCAGCGTACTACCGTGGCCATGTCAAACAGCTCGAGGAGATCCGGCGTAATCATGCGACTGAGTTTCATCGTGTCATGTTGGAGCTATACAACTTTGCCACATATGTCTTTCATCTCAGATCACTTTCTGTTTACTGATATCTTGCATCAGCGGACAGACTGGTACACAAGTCAAGAAAGCAGCTGGCAATTTCGACTTCAATGATCGAGACTCTGATGACGACGAGTGTATTTCTGACGAGGGATTCGGAGACATTGAGCAAGGTATGCTTGAGATGAATGGAACAGGAGTTGAAGGTGTCGATTCTCAGGAGAAAGTTGCCGGTGAAGATGACACCTCGAAGACAGGTGTCATTTGATGAACGAGCTTACCTTCTAGTCACTCTTTAATTGATCAGTCACTCATTTACTTATATCTATTTCGTAGCTTATATCAATCATTAATGGTATATTGAATCAAAATTCCGGAGTGAAAATGGTGCGAAATATGATACCTATTTCCAGTAACCAGTGTTAATTAGGGGATGAGGGAATTGGGGGACCACCTTATGCAACGACATTCACGTTAATGGCTGGAGAATGGATTTTATCCAGAATAAGTGATAAATAATGATAATTATCAATAATTCACAGAGTAGGCTTTTCCAGATGTTGGTTCCACTTCTTGCGGAATTCTGGCTGATGAATCTATACTTGGTTGCTAATAATTATGCTGAATGTTACTTACTAAGGTTGATCCTTCCAAGGATTACTCGTATACAGGTGTCAAATCTGGTTAGAGTGTTCGTCGAAAGGCTTTTCAATCTTCGTAGGAGCTCGTAACTTAAACTTCGTTACACTTCCCTGCAATACGCAAAGTTAGCCTACTGACTCTCTCTTTGGTCAGTTTCTAAGCAGTGGCAAGAGGGTCTTGTGTCTTCGTAATTTGTTGATATAAACTTTTCTTGAGTCTTGTATAAGCCTGTCTTTTTGACACTAACTGATACTAATACCTGTACTTGAGGTTTCCACTGAGGAACTTGAACTTGCGCGGGATCACTTCTGGGGGGAGAATACTTTGATTCTTAGTCTATTTACATGGGTTTATATATACTTTTGGGTCCTACACAGCCAAGGGCTATGTATATTTATTATTTACTATTTATTAGTATTTTTATTATATTTATATATTTGAGTCACAGCATCGTGAAACAATACGTGTTTCATAGGCCAAACACTCGCAGCCCATTTCATAGCTTCACAGGCAGTGAATCTTGAAACAGTGACAGTGTTTTGGGTTTGTTTTGCATTGCTTGGAGGCTGTTTGGGAAGGGCAATGCGTCTTGCTATGTGTTTTGGACTATTCGTAGGCTGTTCGGTAGCTTTTACAACATCCATACTGCTGGTCCATGTTGTTTTGTTGAACTTGTTGAGTTGTTTGGTTTTATTATGCACAGGTCAGTTTGTTTATCTTATCCTAGTGGTAGATTACGAGTTATCTTGTCCTGGGATAAGATTGTGCAGATTGTCCCCTTGTTTGGCTATTTCTGTGGTTTTAACCAGGTGACACGTCAGATGGTCCCTGCCGTTTGGTGCCAGACAAGCCAAAATCTTGGTGATATTTCAATGTGCGATTCTTCTAGTAGTAACGCCGTGATGGCCTAGTGGTAGGGCACTACCTTTCACATGTCAGTGAAAGCTAAGGCTACATGTGTAGGGGAGAAGACCCATGGTTCGATTCCTGGTCACGGCAGTGTTCAAAAGGAGTCGCTTTTTGTTTTGGGGTCTTTTTCATATCTGGACACCTAGTTTCTACTCGGTGTCACGATACCGGTCTCAGCACGCACATTCAGAACTACTGGGTTGAACAACGAACCTTTCATCTCAAACTTCCCCTTTTTCTTCCCCTTTCGCTTTGCCTTCTGCTTCTTCTTCTGCCCATCATTATCGTGCTGACCGCCATTTGCTTCCTCTCTGTTATCAGATTCCCCATCGGATAATTCACCCCCACTAGCAGCGTCCTTCGAAGCTTCGCCTGTTGCAACATCCTCAGCACCTTCTGCCTCTCCAGCGGCCTCTTTGAGCTCCTTCATCCTCACCTCAAATAGCTGTTCCACTCGCTCTGGGTGTGCTTTTGCCCACAAATCATACGCTCGTGCCTTGCGTTTGGGCTCCTTGATGGTGGAACCAGTGAGCTTGGCCATGAGTTTGAAGAAAGGGTTGTCCTTGCTTTTGATTCCACGGTTCTTGTCATGGTGGTACTTCATCCAACGAGCTATTTGCTGTTCGACAACATGGTGAGCCTTTGAGTGCTTGTGACATGTGTGACAGTGACTTACTGCAGCATGATAGCTTGTGACACCATTCCACACCTTGTGTTCTCGAACAACACACTGGTAATCCTCCTTGCTTTGGCCAGTCTTCCAGAGGGGAAACATACTCTCTGGGTCAGGAGCATCGTTGTCTACAGAGGCTAGGTGCTCCTCAGTAGGTTCCTTGTTGTGTTGCAGGTTAGCTGGGTAGCACTTGAGGTAACGTCAAGCCAAGTCTGCAATAAACAGCCTTGTGTTTCTCAGAGATGTATCAACAATGGTAGGAACCAATTTATCCTGATGCATCCACAATGGTATTTAGACTAAAGGCAATCCTAGGCAACCATTGCCAATTGACTTACCAGTGAACACAAGGAATACGGCCTCAATCCATGATTACATCAGCACCGGGGGACCAGTGCACCGGAGAAGTCTCCGGAGGCATCAGCCAGGCCAAAAATTGCCATGTTCTGAGTGGATTGAACCATAGACCTCAAGTTCACGGGATAAATCAATCTCACAACTGATCGTACCACTGAGCCATGTTTCTGATGTATTCTATACAGCGTGTCAGGACCATACTCCCTTCATTCTTTCCATGCTCAATACAAAATTCAAGAATGTCACGTTAGTTATCATAGCTAATCCTATATGTCACATATCTAGAGACGCTGAAAAAGTGCTGAACAAGAATTCTCTTACTCTTGCTCTTGCTCTCCATCTCTCCCTTCTTCCTCAGCCAGAATACCTCTAGACTTATCTGCTTCCCCCTCTAGACCTTCCCCTTCGGTCTCTTCATCTTCAAATTCATCTTCCTTTCCCTTTGCCTCAGCATCCAATGGTTTCTTCCACTCCCTCTCAAAAGAGTCACTGAGACGCAATTGAAGCACTTCCCGCATGGCTGCATAAGCTTCCATTACCTCCACCACCAAGCCTTTGGGAAGCTCTTTTTCCACCGCTTCCCACCTCATTTTCCAGCTTCTCCATTCATTTCCACGATACCCCAGGAATACCAACATTCTACGCATTTCCTCTCTTATCAGCACCACTTCTTCCTCAGCTCTCTTGACACGTGTCCAGCTTCTGCACCATTCCGAACGTAGCAACTTGTTATCGCCTTCTTCTCCCCCGTCGTGAATGTTGATTCTGCCTCCTGTGGTCCAAATCCAGGATTGCTCTTTGCGGGTCTCTCCTGTGCCATGAACTCTCCTATGAGCCCATTCAGTACGATCCGGCACTATAAGTTGTAAGCCAGAATCTTGAGAGAGATGATCCTCCTCTTCCTCTTCTTCAGTCTCTCTGGTGCCCTGACGCCCATGCCCTTTCTTCACCAAAGCAGGATCCCTATAACTCCTGATATCACTATCCTCCAGTACCTGTAGGCTCTTCTCCCAAGCATCTGACCCCACCAACTGCTTGTACGCCTTGCATGCTGTACGATATCGGGATGCAAAACACCTGGCCTTCTTGTACATACGATTGATGACAGCTCTGGAGCGTCCAGATTCTCGTTGACCTCGGACATTTGTGTTTTTGAACTGCATCATCCTCGCCTTGATCCTAAGCGTATGACGTAGAGCGTTGAGAGCATCATAGCAGCGCGCCTCCTGCAGTTTGGCCTCTGTCTGATCCAGCCCATCCGATAAAACTGTCTTGTGCTTCTCTTCCGGAACGTCTGATGGCAGCCACAGTTTGATTGACTCGGGCTGAACGTCCTCCTCCTCATCCGAGCGGCTGTCCGCGAGGAACTGTACCATGCCGGTAATGTGTCACAAACAACCTAAGTATAAGTGGTGGGCTCTGCGACTTTGGGTCACTAATAGAACTGTAGGACACAGCAGAAGCCTAATAAAAGACCACAAATACAAAGATTCAGTAGATGCTGGTTATAAACAGCAGCACACTAGTGGTGACTAGTTGTGCAAGTGTGGTTCGACGTGATCAGGAGTTGCCGTATTAAGAATAGAACACAAAACTATCGATCTGAGAGTGCTGATACGCTCTTCGTTACTTCAAAGCAATCGAGCATCCACTTAATATTAGGGGCGGACCTAAGGTTACGAATGCTTATAAATAGGGTAGGAAACTAGTCCAAGTGCTATAGTTAGCAATCTCGAGTTCAACAATTACTTCCTCAAGATGTACTGATCCTTGTATAGAAGTCACGAAATAACGATACTGTGCGTAAGCAGGCATCCTGAATGACTCTCATTGAACTGGTCAATCTGTGGCCTACGCTGAATTCTTCACTTAGTGTGTTATAAATAGACTCGTTACGAGGTCTTAAGTCGCTACAAGAATACGATGTATTGCTGTGAAACCAATGCTTGTAGAAGCTACAGATCGTAAGTGCCAAATAACCTGTTTGATTGACTCATCATCAGTGTACAACGTTAAAGCTCTATGAATACAGTACGTGTTCTACAAGTCTAGATGTGTTCAAATGGCTCTGTGTCCTGTGTCTGAGGTGAAGTGGAAGTGAAGAGTCAGAAGTGTCGACAAATAAGTGATCAACAGTGTCTGTGATCAGAGGTCGACTCGTAACAAGATGTAACATACACTGGATCAACTCTTATATAAGAGGTCCAATCGAGAATGTGCACATGTGCCAGTCAAGCTCATATATTCAGACTGAAGAGGTCAATTCCGAGCTGATGGCCACATACTGTGTCCTAAGATATGGGCTAACAGTACACTTGTTTGTACTTTGTCTGTCTCTGTCCTTCTTGACCTACAACGTGCAAGCCTTTAATCATAGTGTATTCTGTCCGTGATCAAATTATATAAGTAGTGTAGAAATAATAGTAATGTAGAAAGAATGTGAATAAACAGAGGAACTACATGGTCGTGAATAACGTGAGGAACATGCGGTGTAGTCCATAGGAAGACATATACAGAAAATCAGGGAAATTATGACGCAGTACAACATCTCACGCTTAAAGGTGTCGTTTATGTGATGTGCAATATGAATAGAGGAATTTTTTCTATCTTAGACTCTGTGGTGTGTGTCTGTGTCTGGTGCCTGCGGTATTGTGTGCGGTTAGCCTGTAGTTAGAAAATGTTATCTTGTGTCTTGTGGCGCGCAGGCGTGTTTGTGTTCCACCAATTGATGTGTGTTCGTTTGTCCGTACTTGTCTGCAACGACATACGGACATTGCTCAGTTGTCATCTTGTTTATGTGACCTGGATATCTTTTACTGTGTGTCTCTGCGTGTCCACAAGTAATGTCGTGAGTTTAGATTTGAATTCTGTTTAGCATGCGATAGCGCAGGTAAGGCGCGATATAAAAGATAGCTGATGGTCCAGAGGGTTGAGATAACACGATGCACTGATTCGATTCAATGTTGTATGTAGGGTTTTTGTCTAGCTTTTTATCAAGAGTGAGGGATAAAGATAATCCTAAAGGTACGATAATAGATACTAAGTGAGTAAGAAATCACTGCCACAGTCAGTGTCAGTAACTGTCACAGTAATGGTTGGTACAAGCGGGTTTTAAAGAAACTGTCTCAGTATAATCGGCTTTCTTAGTAATTGTGCATAGCGGAATAAGTGAAATGACTTGTTCTAGTGAATCTATATTTAGAATTCCAACACTCCCCTACACCTTGATGATGGGAATTATCGGGGTTTGACTCTAATTCTTTGTACGCGTGGATCTGTTCGTTGATTCCTATGTGTGATCGGTGGCGATTGTTCTGTGTTCTGATGATCTGGTGTTTAATCTTCTGTCGGTGGTAGTATTGGTGTATATGGTGGTTCCACTTCTGCTTCTTTGTACGTTCCTGAAATATTCTCCTGTTGGATTGTGTCGTTATCAAGTTTTTGGGTCATCAACTTTGTATTTCCTGTGTCTGTGACCTGTTTCCTGCAGTTTGCAGGAGTGTGTCATCTCGGCGATTGTGTTCGAAATGTGTTTGATCGCGAGTTTTTGTTTGCTCCCTCTCGACGAGTGATTATCTGTGCAATGTTCAAGTCTTTATGGATCTGTCTTGTGTTTTCTCTTGTGTAGCAATGTCTGATTGTTGTTGCATCTTTTTGTCTGTTCCTGATTTCTAGTGGTGTCCTTGTTTTTTGTAGGGTAATTTCCTTTGTTGTTCTGTGTATTGTCCTATGAGTCCTTTTGATCAGCCAGTTTCGTGGATGCAATTTCCTTCCCGTGTGTTGAAGTATGTGCTTGATAAGATTTGGTGACATAATTGGAACAATGATGTTCTTGAGAATGTCTGTCTCATGTGAATTGTTTCAGGTCTTGGTCTCTGTAGTTGTCTGTGGTTGATTCTTTGGTTGTTCTGTATAGCTTCTTGATTGGTGTTGTTGAGAATCATTCGATTTTCTCTGCCTATGATGCTTTGCTATCAATCGGCGTCCTTAAATCGACAATTGTGGCATCGTGGTGTTGCATTTCCATGGCATGTATGCTGTTTCTTTCCTTTCCTTGGGA